GAATATTCTCCTTCCTAACATCCTAATTACCTTCTCAGCTTGCCTGTGTTCGCGTTTATTCTTAAACTATTTAAGTCATTAATTGCAAAACCATCAACAGTCTAAAATAACAAAAGCATGGGAAGAAATAATGCACAATTCGTTTACGCAAGTTTCAGCAAAGGAAGTCAAAAGGGTCTAATAGTAAAATTGGCACCAACTCTTGTGGATGATTATATATCATCTATAAGTAGCTTAAACAAATTGCGATTAAAGCTCAAACCATACCTGCATACGTGGAAGCTTCAAGCTTCACCTGCTTCAAATGCAAATACCTACTATACAATCAGTCATTAATCATGTATTAGTCATGGCGTGTTCATAAGTGCAATGATAAGACTGCTCCTATTCCAGCCAATAGAAACACATTTGAGATAAGTTTCTTCTTCTTTATTTCCTAACAAGGACACCTGCCTGCAGTTGTTAAGATAAGCCATTTGCTCATCATATACCTAAAATCTCAGTTTTGGCCAACAAACACGCAATGGTTGAGTAACAACAAGACGGCTTGACTCCTTCAAAAGTCTGCATAATACAAAGGTTAAACAACCAAAGAAGGCATATAGAAAAGGGAAAGAATGTGCAATTATGGATTGGATAAAAATACAATTCAGAAAGCATAATTGGCATCGAGAATATGAAAGGCCAAATAGAATCAAAGCCACCCCTCGATTTCAGCTATTAAGTCTCCTACAAATAAGCAATCCAAAAGCTCATTAGAGGACGTTGGTTATCCACATGGAAAAAAAGCCAACATGGCCGGCTAAAACTCAAACTGCCTCCTCCTATCTTGCTCCGAGGAAACAGAAGGCTTTGAAAAATACTAGCTCTTTCAATTTCAAACCTCTTAAAAATTCATCCCAATGTCCTCCTTCAATGAAGCCTCATCAAATTGAGCTGCTCATTGGGAGGCCAAACAACCATTTTAGTATTTTCAAGGTGTTTGTTCTCCTTTTCCTTGTAGTTTTTTTGTTTCTTAACATCATTAGCTTCTTCTTTAACTATCCTTTCCTTCATCCTCCTATCTTGAGTTTTTCTTCTTTTTACTCTTTGTCTAACTCTTCTTCTCCTCCTCCTCCTCCTCCTCCTCCTCCTCCTCCCTCCTCTGAGTTGAATTCTTATTCTCACAATTTGGACGCTTCTCTTCCTCCTCCAGACTTCAATTTTTCTCCTTCACGTCCTCCAACCATCGTAAATTCTTCTCCTCCGCCTACCATCTCAAACTCTCCTCCTCGTCCTATCTTAAATTCTCCTCCTCCTCCTCCCAACTTTAATTTTTCTTCTTCAAATTCTCCAACTGCTGTAAATTCTTCTCCTCCACCTACCATCTTAAATTCTCCTCCTCCTCCCATCTCAGATTCTCCTCCTCCTCCGGAAGTAAACACTCATCATCCACCATCTCCACAACCTTCGCCAAACTTGAACTCTTCTTTCCCATCATTAGAACCCTCTTCAACCAGGATTTCTTCTTCTTCACCATCGCAGCAACTAGAACCTTCAACAAGACTGATTTCTTCTGTCCCATCTCCTCCTCCTCCATCTCCTTCATTAAACCCTTGTCCTCCCCCTCCATCTCCTTCTTCCTTCAGTTATTCTCCTCCTCCTCTTACAGTTAATGTAAATTCTCCACCACCACCACCGAAATTTAACCCTAAACCTCCGAAAATAGCAAAAGAATGTGACCTCTCTAAAGGGGAATGGGTGAGGGATTGGAAAGCACCTTATTATACCAACATGACATGTTATACAATTCAAGAGCATCAAAATTGCATGAAGTATGGGAGGCCAAATATGGACTTTCTTAAGTGGAGATGGAAGCCAGATGGTTGCGAGCTACCACTCTTTGACCCGAACCAATTCCTAGAGCTTATGAGGGGAAAAACACTGGCATTTGTTGGAGACTCCTTAGCGAGAAACCAGATGCAGTCCTTGATGTGCCTCTTATCACAAGTAAGTCTTGTCTTCGCGGTGTTCTTTATATGGGATGATGCTTCACAAATAACTGTTTCCCCATGGTGCCCAAAGTAATGCTTTTGAATGTAATTTTGCAAGATTAGGCAAGTAAATAAAAAACCATGGTGTCTTTGCATGCATTAAAAACTTTATCAAATTAAAATAACACACTGATTGCACAATGATAATGTAGTACACAATTAGCAAGATTGTGCATGCAGATTACTTGAAGAACTACAACAAGGTAACTATAGACAACAACAGTTAGCTATCCATGAGATGATCAAGCTTTATGCAAGTACAATGACATTCAACAGGAGCTCATTTCCTTACTCATTTCAGGATTATCAGAATTGTAGCTTGAATTTAAAAACCAACATCCATGCCTGATATTGGAGGAAAAAAAGAAAGTTTACTTAAAAATCTAATATTCACATTTTTGTTACATTACTTCATAGGTTCTACTAGCTAACGTCTATTAGATCAGCTTAAAACTTCTGCTTACAAATACAAGAAACTGAAGAAAGTAATATATGGATACACCAAGCTATCGGAGAAAGAACAATACTGGATATTCTCCTAAACTTCATCCTTCCTAATAGTTACTCTTCCAGTGTACTAAAACTTTTCATTATGGTTTTAGGTGGTGTATCCAGAAGACATCTCAGACAACTCCGACGATAACTTCAAACGCATGTATTACTCTGCATTTAACTTCACCATCATAATCTATTGGTCACCATTTCTAATAAGAGCTAAACAGACCAGGGGCCCAGACAGGATGATTCTATGGAACTTCCACCTAGACGAAGTTGATAAAACATGGGCATCCCACATTGACGACTTTAACTATGTGATCATATCCGGCGGTAACTGGTTCAATCGTCCATCAATATTCTACCAGAAGAGGAGGATTGTTGGGTGCCTATACTGTCCTAGTAAAAAAGTCACCCACCGAACCATGCACTACTCTCATAGGAAGGCATTTCATACTGCATTTCAAGCTATTAACAAATCAAGCAAATTCAAAGGAACAGTAATTCTGAGATCGGTCTCACCATCACACTTCGAGAATGGTGTATGGGACAAAGGAGGTGACTGTGTGAGGACACAACCATTCAGGCGTAATGAGACAGCTTTGAGTGTTGATGACATCCAGATATATAAAGATCAACTAAAGGAATTTCAAATAGCCAAGGAAGAAGGGAAGAAGAAAGGAATAGATTTCAAGTTGTTGGATACCACAAATGCTATGTTACTAAGACCAGATGGGCATCCGAGCCGTTATGGGCACTGGCCAAATGCAAAGGTGACATTGTATAATGACTGTGTGCACTGGTGTTTGCCAGGTCCTGTAGACATGTGGAATGACATATTACTACAGATGCTGAATGTTTAAAGAAGAACCTATCAAGTAGTAGCCGAGGTCCGTTCTGTAATTCTGATATGTTTCGGGTTCACAACAGCTACCTCTACATCATTTGTATACAAACAACGTTTTAGGGGAGTGGTGTTGTAATTTGTATAGTATGGCTAGGAAAATTCTTTGGATTCTTTCCAAATGGAGTACTTAGAACTAGAAGCAACAGAAAAAATGCATTTATATACAATTCTTTGAATTCTTTCCAACAGAAAAATGCATTCGGAATTGGGTGTATACAAGTCTTCTGCATGGAACTCTCATCCCGCCTTCACAGAGCGCCGTATTAAACCATTAGTCGCCCCCTTTGCATTCTCATGGAGCTCCATGTGGCTTACTTAGTACCCTCCCCTTGGTTTGTGTGACGGAGGAGTATCAATAAGTTCCTCTTATATAACTGACAAGCCAACGACGTTTTTTGGTGTTAAGCTCTCATCCTAAGATTTAAATGTCGGATGTCGGGTTCATGTCGGATGGCTGAAATCCATGTCGGATAGCGGAAATCGAGGATATATCGGGAGACATTGACTAAATATCGGATTGTTATATCGGGTAGTGCGCATATGTATAATATCATGTCTTAAATATAATCTAAGCATTCATAAATTCAATATAAGCATACTTTATAAATTCTATAGACTAAACATATAAAAAAATAAATAATATATGGATTTGGGTTTATAAATTCTTTCTATCAGGTTCATAAAGAAACCCTTAAACATGAGAACGGGTCAAACGGGTTTGGGTATTTATCACTAAACTCAAACCCGATAACAAAAAACAGATCTTAAAAAAAAGTACCATATCGGCCAATTTTTCAAAGCTAAAAAATAGGCCGATATGCCCGATATGACCCTGATATTTCCGATTTGGCCCTAAAAACCGACATACGAGTTGAAAACGTCCATGTCATGTCGGTCAAGCCCTCAAAACGATATGTCGGCCGACATATCGGACATGTCGGACGACATTTAAAACCTCATCATCATATAATGATGGAATTACTCCTAATACTATTGAAATCATCTAGCCAAGACATCTCCATAGATCAACTGTCCATAGCCTAATCCTCTTTGAAAAATCAAATGCAGTCAAAATTACTAACAACCGCATATTTCAGGAGTACATTAAAGATTAGACGTTGACTGTCATATTTGAACTTCATGATTATTTCCCAAAAAAGAAAGAAAGAAAGAAAGAAAGATTTACTTATTTCTTGTTCTTTCAACATGCAACTTGTAGAATGCCAAGACTCACCCTCCGACAAAATCTATTCTTAACCTACCATGTGGGAAACAATTAAACCTTAACGCTCCATTATGTTTTCCCACAATTATTCTGGAAACTAGCACCAATAGTTCTTCAATTAGCTTGCAATGTTGTAATAATTACTGAGATCCAGAAATAACCACGAACAAACTCCACAAAAACTTATAAGAGCTTATACCATCTGGATTATGATAAAATATTTCAACTTGCAGGAAGCTCCAAACTTCATATTATAGTGTCATATTTATGGTTATTATTATTATTGGTTGTGTAGATGATTAGAGCCTTAGGCAAGCATAGCTAGTGAAGGAAGGAATTGAACCTAAGCCACATCCATGTTAACAGAGGGACTTCACAACTGCAGCCATGGTAGCTGCCTGTTTATATTCTCGAAAGATGTCTAAAGTTACAGATAATTTATACATATCTGGAACAATAATAGATGTACTATAAGACGAGATATTTCCTGCATATAATAGTGGAGACAACAGATGAAGTAAATACTTTCTTTGGGGAAAAAAACATACATGATTTAAAGCTTAGCACTATGGTTAGATTGGGAGAACTGCTGACGCAGGACTCTCCTCATCACTTTATTTGTAGCTGTCCGTGGAAGAGATGGAACAGCCACAACTGATGAAACCTGCATTAGAATAAAAAAGAAATGGGAGAAAGAGAGACATAAATCACTCTAGCTGAAAAATAATTTAATCACAATTTTTCAAAAAGTTAAATACCCTGAATAGAGGATTCAATTCCTTCTGAAGTGCAGTGTTGAAAGCCATTTTAAAATTTTCCAGGTCTTTTCCAGAAATCCGTTGATCTTTGAAGACAATAGCAATCACCAATTGTTCTGGGCCCCCACCAGATGGTGGCAGCCCAATTGCAGCCGTCTCAAGGATATCATCGTTGACTCCATTACAGACTCTCTCAATTTCGACTGAACTTACCTAAATATAAGTTCAAGATACTTCTGGATTAGACTGCTTAGCCACAGCTTCACTACAAACTTCAGTTTGGTGATAAATACCTTAATGCCACCAAGATTCATTGTGTCATCTGCCCTTCCATGGGCCCTATAGTATCCTGCAGCATTAAGCTCAAATACATCTCCATGCCGTCGAAGCACCTGCATAATCAGAGAGTGTATATAATCCGGATAGAAATCAAGATACGAAAATGGACCTCTTACTTTTCCATTCCACATTGGCATGCCCTTGAAGTAAACATTGTAGTGATCAGCATTTAATAATGTCGTTGATGCCCCAAACATGGTTGGATCAAGTGCTAGCTCTCCAATACCCTGCATATTCTGCGGCTACATACTCAAAGAGTCAGTGACAAAAGGTGAAGGAAAGTTATTCACATAAGAAAAGTTGATATATAAAAGACAAAAAGAATCATATCGTTGTCCTTGTGCTTTTAATTAAATGTCTAGGGGAAGTGGGAACCCATTATCTAGCCATATTGAAAAAGAAGCGAATGCAAGTATCAGAATGTTATATAAGTGCATTAGTAGTCATGCATAAGATGAGCGGTTACAAATTCAATACATAAGATTATTAGTGAACCTGACAATTCATAAGGCTTCTTCACCAAGCCACTTTAGTGGATTCTAGTGCACAACTATAACCCTATTCAATTGGGATAATCTTGTTGAAAGTAGCAAAAATTCAGAAAATAAACAGAAAGATTAAAACTTACAAGGGGGTGTCCATTACTGTCGAGGATGAACAGGTTACAACCCATTGCAGGTGTACTGAATGCAGCCAATGCTTGAGGTTGTAACAAAGATCCAGAAATGAAGCCACCTCCTATCTCTGTACCACCACAGAGCTCAATGACAGGTTTGTAGTAAGCTCTCCCCATCAGCCATAGATACTCGTCCACACTAGATGCCTCCCCGGTTGAACTAAAGCAACTATAGTTGCCCCAAAAAAAATGACGTAAAAATAAAAAAATAGAAAAATTATAATTTGAAAATTAAGATTCAATGCGGATCGGAGACAAAGAGTAAAATTTTGGACATGAATATGAGACGAGAAAAACTACATAAGCTCAGGCAAAATGTGGAAGTATATAGAAGTTATCTCACCGAATGGAAGACCAATCAAGGGCTGCGGTACAATTTGTACTTTTCCAAGCACGCACAATGCTTGGGACAACCCCAAGCATTGTTACCTTAGCATCCTATATAATTGAAGGTAAGAAAACCAATAAGCATTGTAGTTTAAAATATAAAAGTTCTATATTTTTATATTGAATTCTGTGGATAAATGAGATACAAAAGAAGGTGATTATTGTCAAGCAAAACTCTATATGACAATACATTTCAAGGAAAACTAAACTTATCGACGGATCATATCATCAAAAAGAAGAAAACCCAATTTTTTATGGAAGTTTATAGGACTTGAGACCATACTTGAGATAAAATATGTAAGGACGTAGAAGTCTTCAAGAAGTTCATGTTTGTGAATATAAAGACTAAAGAACTGCCCAACCCTCCGTCCACCCCACCCTGGTTACACACACACACACACTCACTCACACACCCACCCACCTTGAAATAAAACAAAAAAAAAAGACCATATACACAATATACACATCCTCCCTTCATGAAGGATTAGTTTTAACCAGTATAACGACCAGATGAATCATATAATTGTGCAAAGATCTTCTCATCTCAGGCATCAAAAAATATGTTAGCAACCAAGTTAAATATTATGCATAGTTACTTAACTATTTTTCAGTTGAAAAAAACAATAACATTGGTTAGAAAGCAACAGATGTTATAGTATCATTTTACACAGTTGGAACGGTTTATTCAGTAGATTATCAAAAGAAACATATGGTTCATAAAGATGTTAAGATAAGACATGCATATTTTGCTAACTGAACGAAAAAACTTTCAGGAAGTTTGCCATCGTTTCAACAGTTGTTTGATTTTCACAAAATAATAGAAAATACTATAAGCGGAAGGACTTGCAGAAATAAAAAATTTAGTGCTCGAATTATATCTGAGAATGACAATTTGTTAAGGATGAAAGTAGGTGACTGTAAGTCGAGAACAAAGGTTCTCAATAAGATTTTTTTTCCTCCTCCTAATTTTCAACTTATTAGTTTTTTCTTAACCCACAACAAGAAAGCAACTATTGTCTTTCTCGGCAAGGAAATTGAATTAGATCACTTCTAAGATGATGTAGAATCTTCAATTTGAACAATGAAAATTTTCCCGATCAAACTAATTTCACTCTTATACACCAAAAGAAAGGATGAATCAATGAAATATTATGGATAACAAGAAATCTGCGGGCAAGCAATGATTGTAGCATTGAATATGGATGAGAGTCCAGTACATGGTGTGCAAGCAGTTGTATACATAGGCATGGTTTTGGGAGGATTTGAACAAATCATTCCTGTTTAGGTTCAATGCTTGACATTGTTTTAAATATCCCGACATGGCCCGTTATATTGGCCGAATATATCCTTTTACAGGGCTTGCCGCAACCGATATGGTCTATAAATATTCTTTACCGCTTTTTGGCTATTTTGGGCGATATATCCTAGATATGACCAATATATCAATCAATAAGTTGGCCGATATATCTTTTTATGTGGCTTGTCGCAGAGCTGTAATACCCCAAGATTTAGTCCTACATCGGATATTAATTGAGTAATTGAAGTGTTTAAATAATGGGTCTTAAGAGCCATGTGTAATATTGACTACTAAATTTTGGCAGTGGATCGAATCAAACCATGCATTGTACTCCGTGGGTCCCACAACTTACATTGCTCTAACAGGATCAGGGGCCGAGGCGTGACAAATGATATCAGAGCAATTAACTAGCCGGACATGTGGATCTAAGTACTATGTGGGATTATGCTACACTGCATGAATGTAGTGGAAGCCACCTCTAGAAGCTCATAGGAGCCATCTCTAGAGTCCACATCGCCTGGTGGTGATACTAGGACGGACTAATTGTCATGCCATGATGAAAACATCGCGTAATTAAGATGGGTTGATTGAGATACCCTTGAGATTTAGTCTCACATTGGATATTGATTGAGTAATTAAACGGTTTAAATGATTGGTCTTAAGAGCTAAGTGTAACATTGACTACACAATTTTAACAATAGATTGAGCCAAACCATGCATTGCACTCCGTGGGTCCCATGACTTACATTGCGTTTGGTAATTTTTGGGCAAGATATCATGATTTTTCCATTATATCAAACGACATTTTGGTCAAAAAATCAAACAAAATGTTGCAATGTTGATGTGTACTTTTGTTTGTTTTACAAGGTTGACTAGTGATCCTAAACATATATTATGTACATTTTGTATACTTAGATTTCATTAAGTATGTTGAGATTACATTTTAGTACATTATACTATATATGCAAACATCCGTTACGCAGTTCGATATTTACCACAAATCCCCGATATCCACAATCCGATATGAATTTTGGCCATATGATATTTCCTCGATATCCGATATTTAAAACCTTGATACCTGGAACTTCAAGTGAAAGACCCACTCTATTGAGTGCACCATTTGAAGTGCCTAAAACTGAAAAATCAAGTTCTTTGAAATAGTTTCCCCATCGATCAACAAAGCACAAAATAAAAGGTGTCCAAACAGCAAGTTTATTACTTTGATGGTGTTTAATATTTGACACTTAAAGAAAATTGGTTTTCATGTTTCTTGCAGTTCAGATCAATACCAAAAATTTGGATAGAAATTATCGATGCACTAAAGTGTAGAACTAAGAAAAACTATTTTCAACCGTTCATTTGTGCTTGCTTGATGCAGGCGCGAAAATATTATAATATACTTGACTTTGATTCATAAGTACATTTAAATGATGTGGGTCAATTTCAACGGTGAACTATAAAAATGGTTACTTCTAGAGCTGTTACCGAATTTGTTACTTCTACAGCTTATCACACCTGTACAAACTTTGCAAATCCTGAGTGAAGGGGGGATCCATTGTAAAGAGCCATAGAGGCCCCATTAAGCAAGGTAGCATAAACAAGCCAAGGACCCATCATCCAACCTAAGTTAGTAGGCCATGCAACGACATCACCTTTGCGAACATCCGTATGAGACCATGCATCAGCGGCAGCTTTGATAGGAGTTGCATGAGTCCAGGGGATAGCTTTAGGTTCCCCTATGGAAGCAGAAATAGGTATAAGCTATAAACATATCAACATGAAGAACAACTCAATTGTCCATATGAAAATGAGATAAAGTAAACAACTATCCAGCAGATATTTTCGGTACTCTTATAAATTCGGAAATTCAGAGGTGAAGATAAATGAATCTTTTATATTGACTTCTCAATATGGACTGCTTAGCTTTGAAAATATAAAATAGACAGCAACAGTTTCAACCCTACATTTCTCTAGCATTCAACTAAAAGTCTTCTAATAGCATTTACTACAATATCCACAATCATTTACCCACTATTCTCAACAAGCACACAACTTTAAGATTTTATTTCAACTGAAGTATATTGTCAGTTCTGATTCAGCTATTATTACTATTCTAATTTTGTACTAACAGTTAATGTCAATGTATTCTTGAAGTTTGACCTATAGACATGAAGCATAGAGTACGACAACAAGAACTTCTTTAAGCTGATCTTTACAATGATAAAATGCATAACAGCTGCGCCATTTGTTTGATTGATTTTGAGGGATTTTAATGTGAATCATCATGAATATTACCTGTTGTTCCAGAAGAGAAGAGTATGTTGGTGAATGCTTGAACCGGTTGTACTACTGCAGTGTACTGATTGGCGCTGCAATTTTAGAGTATAAGATTAGTTCAACAAAGCTAAAAAGAGAAAGTACCTCAAGGTACTAAATTAGGTTCAGTTAATTCTTTGCAAAAGAAAACTAAGATTTTTCTTCCTTCAAATTTCTTTGGCAGGTAAGCATCATTTGAGTACCTTATCCACCATAAGCCAATAAAAAGACTTGGTATAAAAAAAATATGTACATACTAAATTGCTCATATAAAATTCAGTTATTATTATAAAAATCCAAAACCTTAAATTTGTGGCTTTGAGAAAATTTATCTCTGATTTCACAACGTAAAGAAGTAAGGAATGCGATGAGTCTCTGCACTAAATATAATGAGAAATCAAAGCATTCAATAAAGTGAAAATGAAATGAAAACAACCATACATATAGGATTTCATACTTAGCAAGTTTAGCACTTCTCAGGAAATCATGCCAAGACATATCACCAGTTCGCAACCCGTTAATGAAGGTAGAGCCCCTAGTAGGAAGAACAACTGCTAAAGGAGCATGAGCATCAATGACCCTTCTGTAACAACAGAACACTTTTCCATGAGACCGATTTACAGCACTCATTGAGCCATTCTAGCAGCAGTAAGCATTTCTAAGACAATCACCAACATCACCTATAAAGGGGTAGCTCTTTATCTCCACGAATAATATAATCCTAAAATGATTTAAGAAAGATAAATACAGGTCAAAATATGGAGATTTATAAAACTAGAGATGCACGAAGTAAAACAAACAAATGCTAAATATCTTCATAATAATTGTATTATGAGAAGAACCAATACAATTCAAAGTAGGAGAGGATAAAAGATTTCATGAAATACAAATTGTAACAAACAGATGATAAACAATCAGATCTTCAATAACAATATTCTCATACAAGCTGATGCTACAAAGGCAAATATACAAGCCATAGGGAACTCCAGAAACAAGTCATGAAACACTAGGAAAGATAGTGTTCCAATACATAGACTTGAGAATGTGCTAGAGGCCCAAGCGATAGAGATCACACTATCTGAGAGACAGGTTTAATGAATCCAAAAGGTTTAAGTTCATATGCAGTAGCAAACAGGCTGAAATAAGAGCAAGATAAGAAAACAAGTTCAACCAGTTAACTGTCAACCATACCACATGAGCAAGCTGGGGGTATCAACAAATTTTCAAAACAATAAAAAAAAAAACAAATACAATAAACACTAACCTGTGTGAAAATAGCTTTTGCATTTGATATTCTCAGCCTAGTAGATATTTCAACAGGAGCAAAACTATCTGCAATCGACACAACCACATACCCTGCTAAAACAATAGCAAGGTATATAATAACAGCATTCACGGTCATTGGCATATCTATTGCAATAGCAGATCCTTTTGCCAGCTTAAGCATATCGAGGGAATTTGCAACCAGACTGCAAAATGAGATGGAAATGAGACAATAAGATTATGTAGCAATATCCAATACGGAAGTATCTTCATATCTAAACTGAATCACTAAATTCCAGCATGCATTATTCAAAAATTGTCACACACTGTCACGCCCCGGGCCCACGGGCCCATTGGCACGGTACAAGTCGTGGGACCCACTGAATATAACGCATTGTTTGGCTCAATCCGTTGCCAAAATCGACTAGCTGATGTTACACTTGAGGTTTGGGCTCACCTTTTTAAGTCACATAAATTTTCACACTTTTCTAGATGTGGAACTAAATTTAGGGTCTCACAATCACCCTACCTTACAAATGCGACGTCCTCGTCGCTACATGACAATTGGCACATCCCAGTATGACTAGGTGATATCCCAGTATGACTAGGTGATATCCCAGTATGATTAGGTGATATGGACTCCAGAGGTGGCTCCTATGGACTCTAGAGGTGGCTCCCACCGTCCTCACCCGATGTAGCACTTAGCCCCGCACAGCAGTTAGCTCCACACTACCCGCTGGCCTAAGTTGCATGGAAACAGGCACGGGTACTGGTACGGGTGCGGGACACGACAAAACTGTAAAATGTAGGGTACGGGGACACGACTACATATATATATTGAATTAATACTATACATAAGATAATTTTTTTCCCCTTCATGTGTCATTAGAATAAAAAATTTCGATCACATTTTTGAGTTTCTTTTATCATATTGATTATCGTAAATTATAAACTACACATTTTTTACTAGACATCTAAACGACCCATTAACTATATAGTTTTAAACTTGAGTATGGACTGAAACGAATCCGACACATATCTCATTAGTTTCAAAAGACGGATGTAAAGTGTAAGCTCTATGTCCAGGAAGTCTTTGACAAGTGTTTTAAATTAACACATATATTGTATAATTGAGTACATGTTGTAATAAATGCACGCATATATTCAAGAAGTGTCCATGAAGTTTGGGTACGGGAAAGTATCGGGTACGTGTCCGGTACGGGTAGAAGTTTGGGTACGGGAAAGTATCGGGTACGTGTCCGGTACGGGTACGGCTTCATTATAGAAGTACCCGAGTAACATAGCCGCTAGCAAATTGCTCTTATACCATTTGTCATGTAACAAAGAGGATGTTTCCTTTGTGAGGTCGGGTGATTGTGAGAACCCCAATTTAGTCCCACATTAGGAAAAGTGTGAAAAGTTGTGTAGCTTAAATAGGTAAGCCCAAGACTTAAGTGTCACATTAGCTAGTTGATTTTGGCAGTTAATTAAGCCAAACAATGCATTACACTCATTGGATCCCACGGCTTGTACCACGCCAACGTGTTCGAGGGCTCGGAGCGTGACAAATGGTATAAGAACAGTTTGCCAGCCGAAAGTGTGGAGCTAAGTACTATGTGGGGCTATGTGCTACATCACATAAAGGCAAAGAGAGCCATCTTTAGAGCCCATGGAAGTCACATCTAGAGTCCACATTGCCTAGCTATACTGGAATGTGCCAATTTTCATGTAGTGATAAGGACGTCGTCTTTGTAAGGTGGGATGATTATGAGATCCTCAATTTAGTCCCACATCGGGAAAAGTGTGAAAAGTTGTGTGGCTTAAATAGGTAAGCCCAAAACTCAAGTGTAACATCGGCTAGTCGATTTTGACAGTAGATTGAGCCAAACAACGTGTTACACTCGGTGAGTCCCACGGCTTATATTGCGCCAACGGGCCCGTGAACTTGTTTATGTGATGTAATTTTGGCTCAAACCACTGAATGCAACACGTTGTTTGGCTCAAATCACTTCCAAAAATGAATAAATCGCATTTAAGAAAAACTATAGGATGTCATTCTGGATATTTCACAGAGATCGTATTCTTGAAAACATTAACAAGGACTACCATCACAACAATGTAGTAAAAAAAAGAAAAGAAAAAAGAGCAATTAATATATAACTTAGGCTGCATGTTGCCCGTCTTACAGTTTATGACATTGGATAAAAGGAATTATCTAGCACATTAAAAAAATTTAATTTATCTATTTTTCTTTCATTCTTTATGGGTGCACATTAATGCTTATCTAGATTTCCTACACCTTCAGATAGTCAAAAAGTTAATATTATGCCCGCACACAAGACCCCATAGACCATCCCAATAGACCAGAAAAAAACATGCATACAAGAAAAAGGGGAGAAAAGAATTGACACCAATGCAAAACAGCAAGCAAAATGAAAAGAAATATTTGCGCAAAAATTAAAAAAGGATTTTACAACTCTCAGCATCGTGTCCAAGTCAATAATGAAGATTGAAGGGCACACCAGAATCCTCAACATATAATTGGAAAGTACGTAGCATATCCATTTTGTCAGGCAGTTTACACGCCCCTCAATTCAGGTAGGCAAGCAAAGAGCATAGATAAAGATGCAAAATATAAGACATTGAACTAGAGTTTTAAGAAAGGGAAATTTGAAAATTTGCACATCCATCCTTCAACATTCCACACAAGCATGCAAAGACTTATTTGTAATAATGTGAACCCATGTGTAAAATGCAAATACATCAGGAGTATTTCTAAAATGCCCAGCATAATAATATACAGCGAGAGAGCAAAAAGAAACCTTTACAGTGTTTTTGGGTTCCCTAGACTCATTTCTTGATGCATAGGAAACTTAAGCAGAAAAAGTTCGTATGACGAGGTTAAAGTCATTACTTATTTAGGAAGCACAAGGGGCTTAGTTCATGAAATCACTTTAAACTTAGAATCATGAAAATTAAGAATCTTTCTATTTTTTCAGTGAAATAAATAGAGTAGAAGATGTTTCAAGTGGTGATACTCGTTCGAAGAAATGGAAGATGACCAGATCTCTACTTCTATGCAGGAGGACATGAATTATAGAAGGGTTGGGGTATACTGGGTCCGATAGATCATAGTTAGATAACCTCATTAGCGCAATGCAAGAAAATTAATTTTCTAATTACATCGATAACTATCCAAGAAGGAGAAAGCATCACAAGGAAATTATCAAACCGCGAAGGTTAAGCAAACAGCAGAAATACCACTTCTCAAATAGCTCCAGCATACTCAATGCTCGCATATATTTTAGAATATTAAACATGTCAAACAAGAAATAAGAGAAGGCATATGATAAAGGTGGTAGCTAAAGCAAAAGGTAAAGTACCTCTTGCAGATCAGATGTAAATTTAGTTTCTAAGAAAACATACCATACTTCCCTATTTAGTTCCTTCAAGGTCATTCGTTGCACAGGTAATGAATCACATTCTTCATCTCTCCATATAACCATTACATCATCTGGGCCTCTTTTATCATTGAAACTCAAACAATTTGCAGCGGCATTTATATAAGCCCCCGGTAACCACTGACCTCCAGGAAAAGAATTATGCTCAAGCAATATACATGATGGGGATACAGAGAATGTTACGCGTAGCTCCTCAAATACCATTTTCCAATAAACCTGTGAAAGAGAAAGATATATATATATATATAGAAATGATATATATATATATAGAAATATGGAGAACCTTGGTACCAAGTTTTTTCATTGAACTTGGTAGTGAGGTGGCCAAATCTAGCCCCTACATCATGCCTCGGAGATGGAGCCTCTTTTTTAAAGTAGATGAATAGTAATTGAGGCTCTCTCTCCGAGACATGATGTAGGGTCTTGATTTGGCCACCTCACTATCAAGTTCAATGGAGAAACTTGGTACCAAGGTTCTCCATATTTCTCTATATATATATATAATATAATATAATATAATTATTACTGCATGTTAGATGAACTGAACTTCAGAGGTTAAGGAAATAAAGCATCAGTATGTTATAGCTACCTCAGGGTTTGAGACTGAGAACTTCTGGAGCTCAGAGAAACTGGTGATTGGATCTTCGTATCTCGAACCAAGCAACTCCCTTCCTCGTTTCATCAATAGCTGACCAACATTTGTCAAAGCCACACTCTCTCTGTAGATATGCAAAGCTTAATGATAAATTAAGTTTCAAAAAGCATGAACAAGTTATAAATAAGCAAGAGTGCAAAAAGTAAATGTCAAATGACTCAAATCATTCTCTACATTAAGTTATTACAATTTGAAGTGGAGAAGCCACAAATGAAATAAGAATCATATTCCTTCTTACCTAGTAGCATTGCACCCTTTATCAATATCTCACCATTGTTGAATTCTCTGTGTCAGTTGGAGACCTAACTCACACGTTTCTTTTATTGATTGATGACTAGAAGATTTTGATTAGCAAAGGGAGCAACTATGATTTCCTATAATTAGCATGATCAATGACAGCATTGATGGGAAAAGGCTTCTCCCATAAAAATAACATATCTTCTGGCGGTGCCGCATACAATTTTTTACCAAGACTAGGTAAAACTAGACCATTTAATCTACATAACTAACCGAAAAGGAGATAACACGCGAGCGTGCTGATGAGGTAACAGTGTAACAATGTAACATATATTTAAACCTACATATAATCAATCATAACAGGCATATACATAATGATGGTCCAAACTTCTCATTAATCAAAAGGATTGAATTTCCCTTGCCTCCTACTTCGACATTGGGAGGGAAGGGAACAATAGTGTTCCCGAAATAAATTCGCAGATGCATACGCTCTTCGTAGCCTAACTGCACGATCATCTTCTTTACGCAATTATAAAAGTGATATTAGCCTTTTCAGTCTTCTTCCAACTTTCATCTTCCTTTCTCTTCATCAACATTCTGTACTCTGTACCCATACTCTGTAGTTCTTTAAAATTAAAAAAAAACCTTTTTGGCTAAAACCTCCACCTTTTAATTGTCCTTTCACGCAAAATAAATTGTAATTCAAAAAATTAAGATAGGGAGAAGCGATAGATTACTCGTCAGGAAACCAAGCAGGCGGAGTATCAGAAGGATAATCCTTGTAGCAGCCATAATACATCATCTGATGAAGAGCGAAGGGCTGATTAGGGTTTAGCATCCTCTTCGATATGCACTTCCACGTGTCTCGTGCACTGCTCCCGTGATCTCGGAGCATGCGGCGGAGCTCGCGGTGGAGGGACTCCGCTTCGTCGGATGGGATTCCTACGGCCGAGATTTGGTCGGCGGTGATCTCGCTTAGAGATCGGTAACCTCCCATCGTCGGCTTCTCTCTGCTCGATAGAGGAGGAAGAAGCAGAGCCTGACTCTGTTGCTGGGGACTTTGGAGGGACTCGAGAGACGTGTGACACTTCTGCTTTACCTTTCGTCTGGCCCCGCACAAATTACAGTTTTTTCAGTTAAGTCCTCTCCCAATTTTCTATTTTCCCTCAGTCTCATTTAACTTTGCTACCTTTGTCTTATTTGACGCACTTATGACCTTGCACATTTTGCGTCTTATTTGATGCACTTATGACCTTGCACATTGTGCATCCGTATCTGCTGATATATCTGTACTATCTCATATTGACATGGTTCGGCAATCTATAATCGATAGGATACGGTCATGCATGGATATAGTTATATAGTTCGGGCCCATATTCGAGATATCCGAAAATATATCGATCAAACCGCTGCAATCTTTTCAATCATTAGATTAATGAATTTGAGACTAATTTTGATGATTAGCAGAGTCAATCTTAGTTTTTCAGATATAACAATCATATTTAATGAACTTTCTTGCTTCTTATGGACTATATATTTTTTTCGAAATCATTTCCTTTTCTCATATATATCCACTTGGACCACTCGTATATTCATATTCATATTTGATTTTCGCAGATATAGATATGAGTTACCTTTACTAAGGAATATATCCATGTCTATATTCATATTCGTAAATGTGATGTTTGCACCCTTATTGTTGAGTAGTTTTCTTATGCGTATTAAACTAGTAACTATCAGAATGCAGAATTTATGTATTTACAAATACAATTTTTACAGTAATATCGAAGGGAATAACAACTCATGTTTTTTTATTTTCTAAGTAAAATTGTTGGATGTCACAAGTAAAGTTGTTGAGTTTCATAATCAATAATTAGTTTGTTTGTCAATTCACTAGTCACTCAGTACTAACTAGTTTCTCGATCTCCTAAACTTATATTAGCACATCTGATTGAAGAAAGAAAAGCAATCAACTTCCTCTTTCTTTCAAGAAGTTTATGCCACACATCAAAGCTACTTATTAAGGAAAAAGTTACTAAAAATGGACATAGATACGTTAATTTTATATTTTGGAATCAATTAGTATGTGGTGATATTTTCAACCACTAGTATAGTGCACACGCGTTGCACGTGGATCTAATTGTTTTATGTTCTAAAACATTTTATGCAATTAGATATATAATTTACGAAAAAGTTTAATTTTGGATGTAATTATGACAAACCTTGAAGACTTATTCAAATTTTCTCATCATTAAAACCCTAGACTACATACAAATATTTATGAGCTTTATTTTTGAAGGGGTTAATCTGTAGATCTTATAAAGTTTTGGGGTTCTCTCCATAAATATAGTAAAATTTAGGGTTCTTTCTATAGATAATGAATATTTAGGTTTCTTAATGTAAAAATTTGAAGTTTATTCTATAAAATTTTATTTATGGTATTTTTATACAAGTGAGGATTTTCTATAAAATTTACAACATGTGGAATACCCAAAACATGCAGTTCTTTTTTTTAAAACTTAAAATCTTGAATAACCAAAGCCAATTCAAGATGATCCAAAAAGAAGGATCCTTTTTGTAGCTGACTTCTCAACTATTTATAGGGGTTTAAGGGGTATAACTGCCCCCTTAAATCGCTCCTTAATGAGGGTTTAAAACCCTTAATTCATGGAAAATGGTTTTAGAACCGTTTAAAACGTGTTTGAAGCAGTCAAACGCGAGATTCACATTCTGGAAATGACCATCGCGTTCAGAATTGAAAACGCGGTAGTACGCTTCGCGTTTTGGGCTGAAAACGCGGTAGTGAGCTCCGCATCTTGATCTTGGAACACAGCTATGAGCTTCACGTTTTGAGCTTGGAGCGCGGTAATGAGCTCCACGTTTTGAGCTTGGAACACGGTGATGACTTCCGCGTATTGCTTTGAAGAGATCATCAACTTGTAATCTCTTCTGTTAGAGTGTTGCAAGGATTGTCATTTTGTAATCCTGGACTTTGGCTCTTTAAGATGTAAGAGTTGTTAGTTTGTAACTCTCGTTGGTTGTTGAAAAATTGTCAGATTGTAACTTCCATCATCAATTGTTGTGAGAATTGTTAAATTGTAACTCTCATTGATTGATATGAAAATCGTCAGGTTGTGACCTCCATTATTTGTATTTTGTGGGGATCAGCTATCCGTAGTAATTTTTAGACAGCCTACAGGCTCAAAGACGATTGGTTGCAAGTGGACCTTTCGAAAGAAAGATGGTGAGCAATTCAAGACAAGGTTGGTTGCCAAGGGATATGCTCAGAAGGAAGGAGTGGACTACAATGAGATTTTTCTCCCATAGTCAAACATACATCCATTCGTTTGATGTTGGTTGTTGTTGCACAATATGATTCGGAGTTAGAACAGATGGACGTTAAAACAACATTTCTATATGGAGAATTAGAGGAGAAAATTTTCATGAAGCAGCCTAAGGCATATCTCCGCAAAGGTGAAGAGGACAAGGTTTCTCTTCTTAAGAGGTCTCTGTATGGGCTCAAACAATCTCTGAGGCAGTGGTACAAACGCTTCGACTCATTCATAATCAAGGCCAGCTTCAATCGATGTGAGTATGATGATTGTGTCTATTACAGGCAGATTGGGCATCCAACATATTTGTTGTTATATGTGGATGATATGCTGATAGCTGCAAAGGAAAGGGAACAAATCGAGGAAGTCAAGAAGTTGCTAAAGATGGGGTTCGATGTGAAGGATATGGGAGCAGCTAGGAAGATTTTAGGTATGGAGATCTCACGAGACAGGGTTTTTGGCAAACTTTGGCTGTCCCAAGAGAATTTTATTCTCAAGGTGTTGAAAAGGTTCAACATGGATGAAGCACGATCGATTTCTACTCCTTTAGTCGATCACTTCAAATTATTCTCATAACAGTGTCCACAAACAGTTAAGGAGCAGGAAAAATATCTCGGATACCATATGCGAGTGCGATGGGATCGCTGATGTATGTTATGATTTGCACTAGGTTTGACTTAGCCTATGCAGTAAGTTTAGTAAGTCGATTCATGTCAAATCCAGAAAATCAACATTGAGAGGCGGTGAAGTGGGTTCTGTGTTATCTACGAGGGACTGCAAAGGTGATCCTATTGTTTTAGTCTTTGGAGGATAATCGGTCCAAAAAACTTCAGGGATACGTCGATGCAGATTACGCAGGTGACCTTGATCAGCGAAGGTCAACGACAGAGTGTGTATTCACAGTTTCTAACTCTGCTATAAGTTCGGAGGCTGAGTTACAGGAAACTGTGGCTCTTTCGACAACTGAGGCGGAGTACATAGATGTAGTTGAGGCATCGAAGGAAGCTTTGTGGTTGCGGGGTTTGGTCAGGATGTTTGACATCATGCAAGATTTAGTACCTATTTAATGTGACAATCAGAGCGTGATTCATCTTACGAAGGATCAGAGGTATCACAAGCGGACGAAGCACATTGACATTAGGTATCACAAGATCCGAGAGTGGATTGACAGAAAAAAAGTAATCGAATTGGTGAAGATCGGTACAAAGAAGAATCCGGCGGATATGATGACAAAGGTCATTCCAGTGGAGAAGTTCAAAGCATCTCTGGACTTCATCCACGTTCTTCAAAAGTAACTTTGGAGAAATACTCTTGAGAGAGAGTTGTATAAAGTGGGGGTTGATTTTGGAAAATCTTCGCGGATGATTGATTCAACGTGATGTGAGTCAAGGTGGAGATTGTTGAGTTCATGATGACTCAAATCAGTTGAGAAATTCAACGTGATGTGAGTCAAGGTGGAGATTGTTGAGTTCATGATGACTCAAATCAGTTGAGAAGCATGATTGGGTTTGGACTCTAATTAGGATTGAGATTGTTGAGTTCATGATGACTCAAATCAGTTGAGAAGCATGATTGGGTTTGGACTCTAATTAGGATTAGTTATACTATCCTAATTAGGATTGGATTGAATGAATTAATTAAATTGGGAAATGCAATTAGGATTCAAGTTAGAGTTCTAATAGGATTGAGCAAAATCAATCTCTATATATATTGTATCAATCCATGGGTTTAACCAGAAGAAAAAAGAGAGATCTATATTCCACCATTGTTGGGGGTGTGTAGTTTTAACCTCTTGTAATCTCTTCTTCAAAGAAATAAGATCTTCCCCCTTCTTCCCATGGACGTACACGGAACATCTTGATTGCGTGGAACCACGTTAAATCTTGTTGTTTGTTGTTTGTCTTGATTGCTGAGTAGATTTGGAGTTTCTTGATTGTTTAAGTTTTATCTTCTGTGGCTTGCATATTCTAACAAGAAGATCAGGTCTAATTTTTTTAAAGCCAAGGCGATGAGATTATACATTTATAATTCATGAACTCATGAAGTGAGAAGTAATAATAAATCTAGAAAGATACACTTGGATCCAAAGAAATCAGGTTTTTTATCCATAATAATAGATTTTGAGCATGATATCAGTATCTAATAGAGAAACTTTCTTGTGCCTCCCAAACTAATATTGGGCCTGGCATTGTTCACTAGTAGATGGTTTGTCAACCTAAACGTAGTATATACACTTCTAAAAACAAAATTTAACAAATATGCATTTAGAAGAATGAAGCCTATCTCTGTTAGCAGTAAACATTGAGAAAATTAAATCAAGAATAAAAAAAGGTTAAGAACAAATAATAACAAATTGTGGATCAAGAAACTGATTGTAGTCAATTATGAAACTACAAGAAAAAATTTGACCTGAAAATTGAAGGTAGAAGATGAATACTAAAGTTATGTTACGTAGCATCTTAATCAAACCACATCCATCAACTATACCGATCAAGAAATCAGATCCTAGCTCGATAAAAGAAAGGAAAAAACTGCAGCGGAATAATTGACTCTCCCATCGTACACATGCGTTACCACAAAACTTAAAATCAAGTTATGTTACATAGCAATTTATTGCTAACGTCATCCATGTCCGTCTACGGTAAATTCGAGTCCTTTGACAATAGACCTATAATAATAATAATAATGAATTCTAAGGTCTTGTTTGGCAAACTACTAAAACTGAGCGAGGTTCAAACCTG